TTATTCTTCTCGGATTCGACTGTAATTGGTCAATTTCTTACGGCTTAAGGCTTAAAACATCTATTGTAGATCCGGGGTAATGCATCGTTTTTTTTGAAAAGCGATTCCGGCTTTAACTGTGATTAGTAAGCATGGCCATGTTCACCTCGTTTGTCGAGGGCCTGGGCCAATTAAATTAATAAGAAGAAGAAGAAGATAAAATGATACTTGGAGGCACTCGGATAGTATTTGCGAACGCGAGCCTAGTCGATCCATTGGTTTTGTGTTTATGCTTCTCGTGATCAGTTGTAATACGAGGTTATAAATATGAGTAATATTTATATACAAGAACCGCCTACTACGGGCAAAGTAAGTGTGAATTATTTAATATATTTATATAAAAAAATATATATAATAAAAAAGTCATAAGGGAGAGATAATTCATACAGTTTTTTTCAAATATATATAAAGAGTTGTATTAGCTAATATGAAAACATAACATATAACTCTCTTTGTAATTTATTATATTTATTATTATAATTATTATGTTACATATAAATTAAATAAATAACACATGTTATTTTCAATTTATATTCCTATTTTGCTAAATAGGTGATAATGAAAACAACAGTTGGCGATATAGATCTGGAATTATGGACGAAAGAAGCTCCAAAGGCTTGTAGAAATTTTATACAGCTTTGCATGGAGGGTTATTATAACGGTACAATATTTCATAGAATTTTGAAAGGCTTTATAGCACAAGGTGGAGATCCAACGGGAACAGGAGAAGGTGGTGAGAGCATATATGGACATTCCTTTAAGGTACAATTATATTATATTACTAGTTTCAGCTAGTTATCTAACATGCTTCTTGCTTTTGTATACTGTTGACAATTATTATTTATATTCCCAGACAATACAAAGTATTCAAAAGAGAGACATAAGATGTCTTTGGCGTCTAAAAGACGTCTTCAGGACGTCTTATGTTTCAATGTGTTGTCTGGGTTATGTATTCTTATTTATATATCTGTTTATTTTCATTTATATTATCATTTATAATTTAACATTTTGATTTTTTTGTTTATGTCACCACATTGATATTACAAGTTAAAATATCTATAATTATTTTATGTTTTTATATTTATATATTTGTTTGTATTATTAGATAAATAAGTATGGTTATTTAGCTTGAATCATTAGCTATTTATTTATTTATTCTAACAATTTATAATTTTCTGAGTATCAATTTTATTTTTTATGTTGCTGTTAATAGGATGAATTTCATACAAGATTACGGTTTTGTCGGAGAGGATTGGTTGCTATGGCCAATGCTGGTAAAGATGACAACGGTTCCCAATTTTTCTTTACACTTGGCGCAACACCTGAGTTACAAAATAAGCATACTATCTTTGGCAAAGTCACTGGCGAAACAATTTACAACATGCTTAAATTGGAAGATGCACTTGTAGATGAAGTAAATATTTAACACATAATGTATCTTTACATAAAAAAAAGATTAATATATAATTTTGTAATGAAAAATATTTAATTTCAGAATGATAGACCTCAGTATCCACAACAAATTTTAAAAACGGAAGTCTTAAACAATCCATTCCTGGATATTGTTTCAAGAGTAGTATCTGAAAAGAAGGAAGATAGCAAAGAGAAAAAGAAGAATAAGAAGACTGGTGTAAAGTAAGATAAATATATAGTTATTTTAAATAATATGTTTATCTTTTTTATATATTTGCAACTATGCTAGGAATTTCAAGCTACTATCATTCGGGGAAGAAGCTGAGGAAGATGAAGAAGAGTCATCAATTTTAAACAGACAATATAGTGGCAAAGGAAAATCAGCACACGATTGCTTATCTGATCCAAAGTTAAGCTCACAATCTGTGATTGAACCTGCTGAACCACCAAGTAAAAAAATCAAAGAGGATCGCAGCAGCGATTGGGAGAATGATGATGAAACACGAACTCCAGAAGAATTGGCTGCTTTGCAACAAGAAAAAGAGTAAGTTATTTGAAAATAAAATATGTAACAAAAGAATTGTTATAGTATTATCTGTAATATAGTTATAATAATTTTATATCAACAGAGCTATGAAAGAGAGGATCAAGAATAAATTGAAGGATTCTAAAAAGATTTCCCAATCAAAACCGAAAATCGAGAACGATGGAACAAACGATGAAAATATAAACGAAAATGCGGAAATTGAAGAATATTATTTCGGAAAAGATCGAGATGAAGAACGAAAGAAAAAGGCGTATGTGACATTATTTTATTATATAAATTATAAATGTATGTGAAATAGATTTGTAGCTTTAGAAAAAAAATAAGAGATAAGCATTTATATTATTTAAAATTAAATTTGCAGTGAAGCAATAAGGAAAGAAATACGCGATTTAAAGCGTAGCGTACAAAATGAAAAGAAAGCGAAGGAAATAGATCAAAAGCAACAAGCCGAAAAAAAAGAAAATAAGTCTGAAGTAATGAAAGAATACATAGAGACGCAAGAAAAATATAAAAAAGCTAAGGAAAAATTGCCTAAGAAGGGTAAAACGCGTGAGGATTTCACGATGGAACTGTTTAAGCAATTCAGGAACAAACTTCAAAATGCCAAAGAACATACGAAGGATGATATGACGAGCTCCGATAAGAAAACATCGAAAGATACTGAGGATGATAATCCGGATGATGAATCTTGGTTGACACACGTTTTGCAATGTGAAGAGAAGGCACCAGTGCTTGCCAAGGATGCCAGTACGAAAGACGATGATTGGTTCGAGATTTACGATCCTCGGAATCCACTGAATAAAAGACGAAGAGGAGAGAAATCCCACAAATCTAAAAATGATAAAAGTAGCAAGAGTTATTTCCATAATTGAAATGGTTCATAATTGTGTGTGTGTGTGTGTTAAATAATATAAAAAAATTAATTAAAATGAATAATTATTTTTAATTACTTATATACTTAGTGTATGAATATTGAATGTACATAGAAACTAAAAATGATGTATAAATTATATTTCGGTAAAATATACTTCGAATATGTATATATGTTCTCATATCAATTTCGACTTTATTAGGAACATGTTCATTAGATATAGATAAATCATTTTTCGATAAATTAAAATGTCGCATTTTTTGTTCTCAATTATCCAAATAAGTTTATTTTTAATCACTTTTGTGCACTGTGTTTTACGTTTAGCGGAATTGTAGACTTATTCATCATCATTAGCACTGTATAATCTGCTGATCATACATACATGAGAAAAAAAGAAGAAATCGACGTTTAAGACAAAAGTTTGATTCCGGAATTTTTTGGATAGTAGATAAGTTATTTAGCTAGACATGTCATTACGCCTCATATGCGACAAGTACAACAGTATTACATGCGTCACAAA